GCCCCACGCTCAGAGCCAGACCATCTGGATGCAAAACGGCACCACGGGCATCTCCCTCCTCCTCCTCCTCCACCCCAGGAAGCCAAGCAGCAAAGGGATCACACATCAAGGTTGGGATGAGGGGAAGCAGCTGGAGATAATGGATGCTCAGGGTCACATCCCAGCCCAGGCTGGGTCTCAGTGCAGGAGAGGAAGAGGAGGGTGCTGCTGCTTTAGCTGAGCTTTTGTCCCAACTCTTTATCTCTCCCAAGCCCGTGCTGAGAGAAACAGTTTTAAGCAGCATGAATGAAATTGCAGCACAGCAGGTTTCAGGGGGGGTGCTGCCTCGGTCATCAGAGAGTTTCACAGGAAAGCGAAACAAAAAATGAGCACGGGGCTTAAAAAGAATCAGAGAATGGTTTGGGTGGGAAAGGGACCTTAAAAGGTCATCTAGTCCAACCCCCCTGCCATAGGCAGGGACATCTTCAACCAGACCAGGTTGCTCAAAGCCCCATCCGATCCGGCCTTGAATGTTTCCAGGGATGGAGCATCCACAACCTCTCTGGGCAACCTGGGCCCATGTCTCACCACCGTCAGCGTAAAAAAACCTTCCTTACATCTAGTCTAAATCTTGTCTCTTTCAGTTAAAAACTGTTCCCACTCGTCCTATGGCTCCCCTCCCTCATCCAGAGTCCCTCCCCATCTCTCCTGGAGCCCCTTGAGGGACTGGAAGGGGCTCCAAGGTCTCCCCGGAGCCTTCTCTTCTCCAGGCTGAACCCCCCCAACTCTCTCAGCCTGTCCTCCCAGCAGAGGGGCTCCAGCCCTCCCAGCATCTCCGTGGCCTCCTCTGGACCTGCTCCAACAGCTCCATGTCACAGAATCATAGAATCATTCAGGTTGGAAGAGACCCTTGGGATCATGGAGTCCAACCATCAACCCTACTCTACAAAGTCCTCCCCTACACCATATCCCCCAACACCACATCTAAACGGCTCTTAAACACATCCAGGGATGGTGACTCAACCACCTCCATGGGCAGCCTCTTCCAATGCCCGACCACTCTTTGTCCTTCTGCCCGACCACTCATGTCCTTCTGCTGTTGGCGGCCCCAGAGCTGGAGGCAGAACTGGTGGAGGGGGGGGGTCACCCCAGAGCGGAGCAGAGGGGCAGAATCCCCCTCCTCTCAAGGCAGCATCCCAGTTTGGGGGCGGTGAGGTTGGCAGCAAACTTAACTGTTCCTTCTGCTTGCCCTGAAGGAAAGGTGGTTTGGGCAAAGGCTTATCCCAACCCCGAGCGCTATCACAACCTGCCTCCAATTAGAAATCACTGCAATTAGGCAGAGGGTCATTTAGCGGGACAATTAGTACCCGTTTCTGTAGCAGGGATGAGACAGACTGGGAGGGGTGTCCTCTATGGCAGAGTTTTTTTTGGTTTTAGGGTTTTTCAGCCACTGTGAAGCGCTCCCCTCATTGTCCCAGGCTCTGCTCAGCCAGATGTTTCTATTGCTGCCCTAAATATTTGCAGGACAAAGAATTAACTCTCTCTTTTTTATTATTTTTCTGGAAATTCTTCACAAGCTTTAATTTAAGCCTCTCAACAAGGCTGAGAGGCAAATTTAGCAGCTTCTTTCTGCCTTTCCCAGATCAGCTACGGATCTGTGTGCCATCAAGCCACCCAGCATAAATCCTGGATCTAGAAAGGCCACATTCCCCCCCCTTTCTGCTGAGTTCTCCTGGACGGAGAGCATGCTGGACACTTTCTCACCCGCTCTCCAGCGCCAGGAGAAGACAGACAAAGCTTCTGGAGCAGCTTAAGATTTGTTAACAGGCCAGCACTTATCAAGGACACGGTGTTTTGACCTGGTATGAGGAACCTCGTCTGATTGTCTGCGTCGCCAAGTCAGGGACTTAAGGAGGAAGGATAAGCAACGGCAACCGCAGGAGACACCCACGGGGGAAGCCAAAGGGAGAGCCCCAAGGTCCAGTTGCAGTTCCAACTGCCAGAACACGTATTTCTCTGGAAGTAGGAGGAAAAAAAACCAACTCATGAAAAGGAAGATGCCCTGATAGACAGCCAGCAGCATGAGCAAACGATGCAGGTCACACCTCAACGGCTCCATGGCAAAAATGCAAAGTTCACGACCGCAGCACGACCACAGCCCTTCAGGAGGCTCCTCCTGACTCCATCCCCCGAAGCACTAAATCCCCAGCGCCTCTCGTCAGTGGAAAAGCCAAAAATGGGAAAGTTCAGAGGTTTTTATTTGTGTGGAAGAGATAAGGAAAGCAAACATACCCCGATAACCTCTTCCCTCGTGCGTAGCAGTCTGAAGGTTGCCCCCATAGGCGGGATGCACATTCTGTACCGAAGGCCTTAAATTTGAGTGGATCTTAGTTAAAAATAAACTCCCTGGCTCAGCATTGCTCTGCTACAGCAACGTGTTCCACAGCCCCACTTTGCTCCCATTCCCCTCTGGAGAGGGATCACGTTTTCAAGGAAAGGCTGGACTGGGGGAGCCCTGGCTGCTCAGGCCCATGGGGGTCACAGGATTTCCCAATTTTTTTCATGCCAGAGGGTTAATTTTCAAGCTGAAAAGGACCGTCATAGGCAAAGTTTGACTTCACTCCCTTGGGAAACACCCCACTGGGGCTTTCCACGAGGGCCCAGCCTGTTCATTTCCATCTGGAGCACCCCAGATGGGGCAGGTGTCATTTTGGTTCACGGTTGATGTCTGCATCCCCCGGCCAGTCAACAGATACAAAAGGGCAAAGGCTAAGCTTTTTACAGTCATTTTTTCCCCCACTTCTGATAAAAACAGCATGCAGACGCACCGATTTAGCGATGATGGTCGGAAAAAATCCTCCCCCAGAGCAGCTACAAGAGGCAATTCTTCAGGGGCAGAATTACAAGCTCTTTTTTATTAAGTTCCTGGAGGGGAAATGCTTCTTGGACAGTGATTCCTGATGGAAAGGTGAAGCCAGCATGGCCACGGACGAGGCTTTGGAGAGCGGGGATGTCCCCACACCAACAAGCTAGAAGGGGCTGGCGTTGTCCCTGTCACCAGGACTTGCAGAGCCTCTGGGGGAACTCTTGGACATGACCCCCACTGGAGATTCCTTCTGTAGCCTCCTCAGAAAGGAGGGCATGTGAAATATGGGGGCTGAGTGGCCTTGTGGAACGTTACCCCCTCTCTGTGAGATACCACAGTTTTCCCCACACTAAAGAAGTACCTTGTTGGCTTTGGTTTCTGAAAGCCTGCAGTGAAGTACCACATTTCAGTTTGGCACCAGCTGGAAGACAACCGTTTGAGTCCTTCGGTTGAAGAGCACGCTGTAGGTCTGCCTGCCATCTCCACTCAGCTTCCTGTTGGTTTTATCTTCAGGGAGGCAACCAAATACGTGCCATCAGCTCCCCGTGGGCAAGCCCCGTTCTTCAAGGATCCTTTTCACGCTCTCCACGATGGTCCACACTTCTGCCATGGCACCTCGACCTGCAGGGTTAGAGCAAAGCCACGTGGGGACATTCAGGTCCCACCAGAGATGGCACGAGGCACGTGTGTCCCCTCTTCCACCTCCTCGCTTCTCCACACGCCGTGGAAAATTGGATGCACAATGGTGGCACGGCCCAGCAAAGCTCACCAAGGTGTTTCCTTAGGACTTGCCCAACTGGGGAGACCAGAGGATCTGCTCGGTCCACCTGGTTCTGCAGGGGTTTTGTGGCACCGTTGAAGGCCACAAGGGGAGAAGATCAAGAAGAGTATTCACGCTGGCTTAGGTTGGCTGGAAACTCAGCAGTCTAAGCAGGAACACGAGCTCCTCGGTCAATGGAGAGAGGCAGAAAACCTCAAAAGGCAACTCATATGACCTCAATAAGCACCTCATGTTCTGAATCATCTCCAGAGGTGGCTGCACCTACCCCTTGACCGCACAGGGAGTTACTATCTTAGCTCATCCCGCCCTGGGGGCAAGTGTGCAAAAGTGCCCCAAAAAAGCGTGTGGGTAGCAAAATAGCCAATATCACCTCCCTTCTCCAGCGTAACTGGGGTTATTCAGCCTGGAGAAGAGGAGGCTGAGGGGAGACCTTATTGCTCTCTACAACTCCCTGAAAGGAGGGTGTAGAGAGGTGGGGGTCGGTCTCTTTTCTCAAGTCACAGGCGACAGGACAAGAGGAAATGGCCTCAAGTTGTACCAGGGGAGGTTCAGGCTGGATCTTAGGAAAAATTTTTTGCCTGAAAGGGTTCTCAGCCATTGGAATGGGCTGCCCAGGGAGGTGGTTGAGGCCCCATCCCTGGAGGTGTTCAAAAGCCGGGTTGATGTAGTGCTGGGAGGTATGGTTTAGTGATGGTGATGCTCCTTGTTTGTTGTGTGGGTGTCTATTTTTTGTCAGTCAGGTTGATGGTTGGACAAGATGATCTTTAAGGTCCCTTCCAACCTAGAAGATTCTGTGATTCTGTAAACTGTGTGTGTGTGTGTTCAGTATCTTTGTGAAATGGCCCTTGCCTATATAAAAAAGACATCTCAAATTCATACCATTCCTGTGACTCTGAGGTTAGACCCAGTTCAGAGAAAGCTGTCCTGGATTGGCACCAGCTCCAATCTTGGGAGTGATTCTTGGAGAAGACTCAGCACCGGACAGAACAAAATGTGAAAGCTTTTCCTTTTGGTCCAATTAGATGAACATCTAATGAACGTTGCCAGATGAGCATCTAATCTGCACTCTCTCTCTCTGCTGTCGCTTTCCCTCTGAAATACTTTTTAAACTGAGGTTCAGAATTTTAAAGCCAAGAGATCATTAAATCATCTCGTCCGACCTCGTGTACTGAACTCAGCCCGTTCCCTCCTGGAATTTGCTTGGGGCTGAGGAAAGATCCTTCTCCCACCAGTCTCCATTTGAAGATTTCAAAAATGGAGTCTCTCATGATCTTTTGCTCAAATAATTTAAAATATGTGCCTTATTTGTCATCAGAAATTAGTTCTGGAGGGCTTCTTTCTCCTCTTTTTTCTGCTCTGCTTCCACAGCTGGGTTAGCGAGCGCAGAGATGAACAGTGAAACAGCAGAGTCCAAAGGACAGTAACGACCTGAGGGCAGGCAAGAGATGGAGGGGAAGGGGACAGGCCACCCTGACCCCCAGTTTTCCAAGACAGAGGACCCACCTAAGCTGAGGACAGAAGGTGTAACTGGATCTACTGAGATTGAGATGAAGAATGATGCTTTTGGAAGGTGAAGAAAATAGGGTTTCCCTGCAAATTAAGACCCATTCTCCACTCTGCCTTTTCCAGCCCTGTAAATCCCAGGAGGTCTGAAGCCTCCTGTGGACAAGTCATGGGCAGATTTGGGCCCTTCTGATCTCCTAACCTTAAGGAGAGGAGCTGCAGCCAACAGGTCCTGCTCCAGAGGAGAAATTCCTCTTCACAGTTTGGCAGAGCTATACCCTTCAAGAGCAATTCCAATACCTGCCTCCTGCTTCCTCAACAGCTTTGGCAACTCACAGCTGGATTTTTAGGTTTAGCAGAGCAAAATCTTGCTAAGGCAACTGTCTCACAGCACAGCTCGTGCCTCCAGGCAGAAATCTTCCAGTGTGCCATGCTCTAGAAATCCAGCCAAGGCTGATGAAGATATTAGCAGTTTGGAAATGTTTTTGCAAAAGGCAAATTGCTGCAAGCACCTCTCAAAGCTCTCTTTAGATCGTGGCGTATGGATATCATCAAGGCCAACAGCTGGTAGCTTACCTTTAACTATCCAATCAAGGAAACATGTTAATTGTCAACCCTATTTAATTTATTTTAACTCTTTTACCCCAGGCTCTACATCAAAAATTCCATTTACTAGGGAAGAAAAATCAATCAGGTGAAGCTTGTAACGCAGAAACTCAGGATCTGGCCCATTTCAGGTGAGCCCAGCCACATGAGGGGAGGAAGATAAACCTCTTCTACGGCAAGACAAACCACAACGTCAACAGACAAAACTGGTGCAAACTGACTCTTCTTTTCTTCTGCACCAGATGTGTGAGCTTTTGCTACCTGCTGCTTGGGTGGAAGCCGGGCAAACCCCTTTGTGGATGAAACCCACAAAACCGAAAAATTACGGTGGAAGAAGAGGCTTTGGGGTGAAAGGCCTGAAAAAAAACAACGAGGGGAAAAGAGGAAAAGGTCAGTGGTGGAGAGTGTTTGGGTCTTCAGAGTCCATTATTGCTGCGCTCTGAGGAAACAGACCTGGGAGTCCTGGTGGGCAGCAGGATGCCCATGAGCCAGCAATGTGCCCTGGTGGCCAAGGCCAATGGCATCCTGGAGGGCATCAAGAAGAGTGTGACCAGCAGGTGGAGGGAGGTTCATCCTGCCCCTCTGCTCTGCCCTGGGGAGGCCCCATCTGGAGCACTGGGACCAGTTCTGGGCTCCCCAGGTCCAGAAGGACAGGGAACTGCTGGAGAGGGGACAGCAGAGGGCTACAGAGATGATGAGGGGCCTGGAGCATCTCTCTGATGAGGAAAGGCTGAGGGACTTGGTGCTTTTTAGTCTGGAGAAGAGAAGGCTGAGGGGGATCTGATCAACACCTATAAATACTTAAAGGCTGGGTGTCAGGAGGATGGGGCCAGGCTTTTTTCAGTGGTGCCCAGGGACAGGACAAGAGGAAATGGGCACAAACTTGAACATAAGAAGTTCCATCTCAACATGAGGAGGAACTTCTTTGCTGTGAGGGTGGCAGAGCCCTGGAAGAGGCTGCCCAGAGAAGTGGTGGAGTCTCCTTCTCTGGAGACATTCCAAACCTGGACACCTGTGCAACCTGCTCTGGGTGGACCTGCTTTGGCTGGGGGTTGGTCTAGATGATCTCCAGAGGTTCCTTCCAACCCCATAGCACTCTGTGATTTGCATCACTTGCCTTTCTTGGGTTCTATTTCTCTCCCTTCATTCTTTTGTCCCTTCCAACCCCTGGCATTCTGTGATTTCCATCACTTGCCTTTCTTGGGTTCTATGTCTCTCTCTTTGTTCTTTACCTTTTCATTACAATTTTTTAGTAGTTATTGTAACTCATTTCAATTATTAAACTGTCTTCATCTCAACGAGTTTTCTCACGTTTACCCTTCTGATTCTTTCCCCCCGTCCCACTGTGGGGGAGTGAGGGATCAGCTGCGTGCCACTTACTTGCTGGCTGGGGTTAAACCATGACAACTGCCTTGGCCATAATTTTCCTCCACGCGGCCAGGGAAATCCTGGCGTTTGCCAACAGGAAAATCTTGTTGTGAATTGACTCACAAACATGAATGGAGCCGAGTGGGATGTGTCCAGTGCTGCCCCAGCTGCCCAAACCATGCCTCTCTCCTGTGTTTTGCTCCCACAGTAGAGGGAGCTGAACTGAATATGAAGCAGCTCCCAAACGACTGCTGGTATAATGAGCTAACTCCCAATTAATGCTGGTCTGCTTGGCTGTTCCGAGCTACAAACCACAGCAATTCAGCTGCTTCTTCTCGTGTGGTTCATGCAGCCCCGTCGTGAGGGCACCAAGCCCCAGGAACGGGGCAGGGCAGAGCAGCAGAGGGTGGAAATCACAGAATCACAGGATCTTCTAGGTTGGAAGGGACCTTCAAGATCATCTTGTCCAACCGTCAACCTAACTGACAAAAATAGACACCCACACAACAAACAAGAAGCATCACCATCACTAAACCATATCTCCCAGCACTACATCAACCCGTCTTTTGAACACCTCCAGGGATGGGGCCTCCACCACCTCCCTGGGCAGCCCATTCCAATGGCTGAGAACCCTTTCAGTGAAAAAATTTTTCCTAATATCCAGCCTGAACCTCCCCTGGCGTAACTTGAGGCCATTTCCCCTCATCCTGTCGCCTGTGACTTGGGAGAAGAGACCGACCCCCCCCAGCTACACCCTCCTTTCAGGGAGTTGGAGAGAGCAATAAGGTCTCCCCTCAGCCTCCTCTTCTCCAGGCTGAATAACCCCAGCTCCCTCAGCCTCTCCTCATAAGACTTATTCTCCAGACCCCTCACCATCTTTGTCGCCCTTCTCTGGACCCGCTCCAGCACCTCGATGTCTTTTTTATGGTAGGGGGCCCAAAACTGGACACAGCACTCAAGGTGAGGCCTCACCAGTGCCCAGTACAGGGGGAAATCCATGGAAATCCACCATCCCACTCCATTTGCATGAGTGAGTTCAACTCACGTGGCCCTTTGGCACTCCAAATCCCCCACCTGTGGAACTGGGAGGACAAGAACAAAGCTCTGGCTCAGGAGCAGGAACCTGCAAGGATAAGCGCACGACCCACTTGGCTGCTCACTACAGGGACAGAGATCCTATATACGCACGAAAAAAGATGAAGGGGGAAAAAGAAAGGACAAAGAAGCTATGCCAGATGGCCTTTCCACTCCTGCCAAAATGTCTGCACAGAATGAGCTCTTTTGGGCGTTTTCCCTTAACGTTATTACAAGTACGTAAGAAATTTGATGTAATCAGGTCTAAAATCCCAGAGGAAGCATAATTGTCCAGGATATTTCAACTGATGTCTGAGTTACTTGACTACACTTACCTAACTGTAAATATTTCGGGTGTCTTCAGCTCCAAAAAAACACTATCTAGAAGCATTGCCTCTACCTAAGAATTTAGAAATGTAGCCAGCTCTAGAATTTAACCACAAAGAACGTTTTAACATCCTCTCTTTGACTGCTTATTGGACAACCCCACAGAGTGGTTAAAATCCTGCTAGAGGTTGTTAAACCCAAGTGTGAGTGTACTACTGTGCTGTTATGGCTGGAAGGGGGTGACATTTTACAGACAATTAGTCCAAGAAAACGTTGATAATAAAGGGAATCCGTTTATCCAAATTGCTTGCATGAAAACCCTTCTAAAAACTTCCCAGAAGGCAAAATACCTCCATTTAAAGCAGCTCCTAAAATAGAAGTGAGACCGTTTTAGTAGTATTTCTTAGCACTGGAAGTTAAGTCTTTTGTTCCCTACTCACTTCCTTCACTTCACAGACAAGTCTGATGTCAAACCCCCAAATCAAAACTGGATTGGGAAGCTGAAAAGTAACCCAGACAACAACAAAAGGCAAAGGCACGTCCACCTACACCCTCAGCCACGGCTACAAAAGCGTTTATTCTCACTCTCTGCTCTCGGGGATAAGATATTATCCCAACGTTAGAGATGAGGAACTGGGGCACGACGAAACACAGCCCACGGTCACAGCAGAGGGCAAGGTCAGGACACCCAAATCCCAGGCTGATAGCGCTCACCGCAAAGCCTTCCTTCTCTTTGATCTACTTTCTTCTTGAATGAGTGTTTCTGTAGAAAATCAGGCCTATCTAACGGCTCATTTGAAAGAGACTTGGAGAGCCTCTTACAGCTACTTAAAAATTAATGAACAAGAATAATAGAGCTCAGCTAGCACAGGGCAGAGCTCCAGTTTGCTTGGATAAACCCTGGCAGCGAGCACCTTCTCCCCATAGTTCAAGAGATCTCTCAGGCTGGATATTAGGAAAAATTTTTTCACTGAAAGGGTTCTCAGCCATTGGAATGGGCTGCCCAGGGAGGTGGTTGAGGCACCATCCCTGGAGGTGTTCAAAAGACGGGTTGATGTAGTGCTGGGAGGTCTGGTTTAGTGATGGTGATGCTCCTTGTTTGTTGTGTGGGTGTCTATTTTTGTCAGTTAGGTTGACGGTTGGACAAGATGATCTTGAAGGTCCCTTCCAACCTAGAAGATTCTGTGATTCTGTGAAGGCCACACGGCAAAAGAATGCACATCCCTTTGGGATAAGACCAGCACTCGTGCAGGAAACCAGTCAGAAGACGTGCAAAAAGGACTGACCTTCATCTCCACACACTAATTTCTTCACCACACAGGGGATCTCCGTGTAGCCAAAGCCTTTCAGCTGCTCCACCTGCCGAGCTGTGATGGGATGCTCCCACATGGCCGTGTTCATCGCTGGGCAGAAGAACAGAGGTTTGCTCAGATCCCACGCCCGGATGACACAAGTCTGCAAGAGAAGCCAAGAGGTTCAGAGCTCGGTCTTTCCTCATCCCTTCTCCTCCCTTTGCTGCACAGAAGCGTTTTCCCAGTCTGGGGGTCATTAGGGGGGCCCACAGTCTCAATCTGTCTGTGCAGCTGGACTAACCCACAGCCAGACCCGCAGGGCTACTACTAATTTGTACTGCATTCCAGCAAAGCTCATCTCTGACAGGCAAGAAAGATGAAGGATGAAAGGATGAAAGATGAAGGATGAAAGAGAGGAGAGATCCCATCCTACTCCCTCTTGGGGCCAAGGAAACAGCCCGATTGCTGGAGCAAACCAGGCTGGAACATGGTGTGTGCTGACTGCCAGCCCATGTGAGAGACCTAGGGAAGCCGAGGGGTGGCCACAGATCATATCAGCTACAGAGAAATCCCCAGGCAGCACTTCAGATAAGCCAGCTGTAGAACTCAAAAACACAAAAAAGTTGACAAGCGAGACTTTTTTTTTTTTCAACGATACGCCAACTGGATCAGTAACTCCTCACAGGGGAAGAGCTGCCCCTTCCAGGAGACAGAGGATAAGAGGAACACATCTGGCTGTTGCAGAAGATGCTGGCAGATGACAAACCATCTACAGGCAATCCTATCTGACTCCTCAGTAATACAGAGCTTCCAGATAACCCCATATCGCCTCATCTCCTTCAAAAGATAAATGCTGGTTGCTCGTGATGCAAGGCCCATCACTTTCCCTAGGCCTAGCAGCATCTCAGTCACGCACAGGGAGCTTCCCAGGCAGCAACAGGCCCTGGAGCAGGGTCTCTGCTCAGATCACAGAGTGCTTACAAGAACCCTGCCCATCCTTTCCTACGCCCTGTGATTTGAACCCTTCCCAGCACAGGAAAGCCTGCTAGAAATCTGTCCTAACTTGCCAACCAGCGCCTCCGGCGCTTGCTTTCCTTTCCTGGAGCTACCTCTTCCTCTCCAAAAAGATTGGCAGGACTTTTGTTTGTCCCCGACATCCCTCCTGAGCTCTTCCCTCTGCTACCACCATCACATCTGTAGCACCACGGGGACTTAGAAGGACAAGGCATTGCTTGGCCCTCTCACTGCAGCTCCCCGGAGGCTCTTTTGGGTGGTTGATGCTTATGACTTACTCCTAATGCCTGGATGCAAAGCATTCATACAATCATAGAATTGCCCAGGCCAGAAGGGACCTCCAAAGGTCATCTAGTCCGACCCCCCTGCAGTCAGCAGGGACACCCCCAACTAGACCAGGTTGCCCAGGGCCTCATCGAGCCTCACCTTGAATATCTCCAGGGAAGGGGCCTCAACCACCTCCCTGGGCAACCTGTTCCAGTGCTCCACCACCCTCACAGTGAAGAACCCTCTCCTCATCTCCAGTCTAAATCTGTTCCCCTCCAGCTTGAAGCCATTGCCCCTCGTCCTGTCACTGCAGGCCTTTCTAAACAGGCTCTCCCCAGCCTTCCTGTAGGCTCCCTTCAGGTACTGGAAGGCTGCTATTAGGTCTCCCCGGAGCCTCCTCTTCTCCAGGCTGAACAACCCCAGCTCCCTCAGCCTGTCCTCGGAGCAGAGGTGCTCCATCCCCCTGATCATCCTCGTGGCCCTCCTCTGGACCCTCTCCATCAGGTCCATGTCCTTCTTATATTGAGGGCTCCAGACCTGCACACAATACTCCAGGTGAGGTCTCACCAGAGCAAAGTGGCAGAATCCCCTCTCTGGACCTGCTGGCAACGCTTCTTTTGATGCAGCCCAGGATGGGATTGGCCTTCTGGGCTGATTGCATCCTGGGCTGCATCAAAAGATGTGTTGCCAGCAGGTCATTCAGCCATGCTGAAGTTCCCCTGCACCCAACAGAAAAGCACACGCTCTTTTAACACACTTTCTGATCAGCCTCCAAGCCCGAGCACCTTTAATACCAGCAAAACAAGCCTGAACAAGCAAAATATCTGAAACTGGAAGGTAAGTAAGCGCGAGAGTGTCTGAATTTCTGCGCTGTGCAGTTAGGTGAGGGAGGAGGTGAGGCAGCAGGAAGTAAACAATTTTATCTGATCTCACAGGTGTCTTTCCAGATTGCATCTGAAAAACGCAGAGAGGAACTCAAAAGTGAGTGCCAGCACGTATGCGCACGCGCGCACGTGTATGTGTCTACATGCATGACGGAGAGAGGGTGGAGGTACAAAGAGAGAGATACCACCCATCAGAAAAAAAAAAGCAGTAAAGGCACAAAGCAGGGACTGGGACATCATGGAAGAGACTGACAGAGCCGAGGAGGAATGGAAAGGGATGTGGGTCAGGGAAGGAAAAGAACAACTGAGAGGGAACTGTGCTGGAGGAAGAGAGAGACAACACACGAAGTGGGAGCAGAACATGCAAATCTCACAGTTCTCGATGCGGCAGAGGCACAAGAGTTTCCATGAAAGAAAGGTCAGACAGTCTTAAGGCGGGGAGGTGAGAGAGCTCTTGGGGGCAGAGCTCCTGTTACTCACCAGCAGGTTGTCACAGATGCCGTTGGCCAGCTTGGCCAGGGTGTTTGCATCAAGAGGTGCCACCAACATAAGGTCAGCCCAACGTCGGAGCTCAATGTGCAGGACGGGGTCCGAACGACCTTTCCACAGCTGGGGATGAGACAAGACGCCCATTAGCAAACCCTCCCAATGAATGCCAGGAATAATTGGCACTTTATCTTATCAATCCCACCACGTAAACGTAAGGGGAAAGGATTACTCTCATGCTGAGCAAGATCTGAGTGCGTGGGGAACCTGCAGGGACGGCAGCCAGCGCTCACTTTGTTGACTCCCTCCCTCCTCCAGTGAAGGCCGTGTTGCAGCAACGGTTGGGAAGTTCAAAGACAGCACCAATGTGCTTGGTGTTCTACAAATGGGCATCCTCTCCCCACAAAGATAATTCCTACATCCAACAGCCACGGATTTAAACCTGCAGGGAAGAGCTTTCTCCATCCACATCATCCCTCAGCTTCAGAATTGTTCATAAGTGGTCCCTCAATGTGCAGCGGAGAAGAGAGCTCCATCCTTTCAGGAACTGAAGCCAGATAGGACCAAACCAAAGGTCACATTTCCTGAGGAACCCATGTCATAGAATCATAGAATTGGTTGGGTTGGAAGGGACCTTAAAGACCATCGAGTTCCAACCCCCTTGCCCTGGGCAGGGACACCTCCCACCAGACCAGGTTGCTCAAAGCCCTATCTGATCCAGCCTTGAATGTTTCCAGGGATGGAGCATCCACAACCTCTCTGGGCAACCTGGGCCCATGTCTCACCACCATCAGCATAAAAAGACCTGCCAGGCTCTCACCACCCTCAGTGTAAAAAAACCTTCCTTACATCTAGGCTAAACCTTCTCTTTCAGTTAAAAATCGTTCCCCCTCATCCTATGGCTCCCCTCCCTGATCCAGAGTCCCCCCCTTTGTCTTTTGGAGCCAGTTGCGGGACTGGAACGGGCTGCAAGGTCTCCCTGGAGCCTTTTCTTCTCCAGCCTGACCCACCCAACTCTCTCAGCCTGTCCTCCCAGCAGAGGGGCTCCAGCACTCCCAGCATCTCTGGGGCATCCTCCGGCCACACTCCTACAGCTCCATGTCCTTGCTGAGCTGAGGACTCCACATCATTTATAAGCTTCCCATTTCTTTGAAGTGAAGCTGCCCACTGCCTTTTAATGAGGTATAGACCCCTAACTGCACAAGTCACTTTTTAATTAAGCACCTAATCATACCCACAGCAGTGAAATAAACCCTCGTAATGACAGTAGGGATCAGTCCTGTTGGTTTTCTCTATGACAGACGAGGTTTAGCCAACTGGGCACCTCCCTCCTTTTCTTGGCTCTAAATGAATTTTTTTTTAATTTTCAGTAAAGCTCTGAGTTGCTCAAGAGTGTCCCAGTCTTTTCTTCAGAGCGCAGTTAACTGGGAAAGCGTAGAGAAGCAGCGAACAGCATCAGGTGCTCAATCCCCAGAGGACACACACAACCACAGGCCAGTAAGAGGTGTATCAGGGCCACAAACTGTTCCTTCTCTGAGTCACTGGAAACCACAACAAAAAAAAAAAGGCAGCATCCGGAAAGCTGGTTCTTCCTGACACCTTTCCCAACTCCTCCACTCGCTTCTACTCTTCCTAGAAGCACTCTAAACTGTAGGTTTATTTTCAGAGTAAAATATCCCACAAACAGATTCTGAGAGGGCTTATTTTCCACCCTTCTGTCAGAAGGGCATGTTCTAAGGTGGCTTTCCGGTGCGCCAGCAGACCTCAAAACCTGGCCCACTCCTCTTCTATCACCCCACCGAGGGCTCCTCAGAAATAACTGCCTGGAGCTGAAGCACCCTGGGACTCGGGACATCTCCACCAGTCTCCTAGACCAGCTAGAAAGCTGGCTGGGCTAACGGTTAATTGCCATTAGCACACCTGTCTCCACAGAAAGGCAATGCTCAGCGTGAGCCCGTTGGCAGGAGAACTGGTAAAGAGAAGATGGCCTCAGACTCAGATCCGTACTGCAAAGTACAGAGAAAATGTGTAGAAAATCAAATGTTGATGTTTATATAATAAATTTCTTCTCACCCAGAGACTCTCAGCAAGACTGTAGTCAAGAGAAAAAGCCATTTGACAGGGTCTAGAGATGTTCACAGCCCTGACAACCGAGTTATCCCCTACTGGAATGACTCCTCGATGTATGGGCATGAGCACAGAGGGGGACACCTCCGAGATAAACACTGCTTCCACCAGGAGAACCTCTCTAAGTTCCAGCCCCTACCACACCGGTGCACGACAGCTCCAGATACTGGCCATCCTCTGTACCTCTGCAGCAGGGTGGCCCCACCAGCACAGGCCACCCAGTCAGACACCAGACTGAGTCTTCAAGCAGCGTGGGTAATTTTGTGAATGTCAGCGATGTTTGGAGACTCAGAGCACGTCGTGTGCCGTCGCCTTCGTGACAAGGATGACTCATGACAAGCACCAAACACCCTCACCGCGATTCTGCAGTGGCTTTCTTGACATTTCCTGAGACTCCTCTCAGAGCTGCAGATAGATAGCGGCTGAGCCCGGGGCGGTGAGAGACCACTTCTACCACTCACTGCCTGCTGCAGTCTGCCAGGGAGGTACAAAATCCTCTGATACAGTTGGGACAGCCTTGCTTTTCATCTTTTATTTACAGTACAGTTGGAACCACATTCTTTGAAAGCCGTATATCCAAAGCGTACATTGCTATAACAAAGAAGGGAGCCTTGGCCCGGGATTAAAAAAAAAAACAAACAAAAAAATTAATGTGGTCTCTTGCAAAGAAAGTTAGAGGAACACTTTTCCTTGCTGTTCACCACTCGAACAACTAAGTGAATCTCTCAGGGAGGCTGGGAGATTCCTGGATGCTTTTTCCTGAAGCATGACCCACTGGGCTTTCTGGAAGCAGAAGGCATGAGTGTGTGAGAGAGCGACTTGAATTACAAGATGTGTGGCTGGTGGGGCCAGGACAGAAGCTTTTTCAGTCTCCAAAGGAAGAACAACTCACCTGCCATTCATCTTCGTCGCTGTAGAGGGTGACAGGAATCTCCTGGGCATTGTAGAAATGCTTTGCTCTCTCTGTAGTGACCACCTTGACTTCGAGCTAATTGGAAAAGAAAGGCAGAAAATGGTTAGACTTGAGGACAATCCTGTAAAGCTGGGCAGAGGAGGAAGGCTCAAAGTTCTGGAAAGCCATGTCGGTTTCTTAGAGGACCTTCCCCTAATTGCAGTTGAAAGGCCAGGCCACTGCAAGTGTTGACAGGAGTCAAAGCCTCCTTTCATGCCACCTTAAAACGGGCAGGTGATTAGTCACAGCCTGCCAAACACGTTCCCATGGCCAGTTCCCAGTGGGGACAGCAGAGAAGACAGAGCAGGGCAGGACGAGATGCAGTTCTCCGCAGAACTTCAAAGAGCCTGGAAGAAGCAGCAAACCAAAGCTCTGCAAAAGATGCCCTTTAATCTCACAATCCGCCTGCCAAAGGGAGCAGGAGAGGATCCTGCCTCGGTGGATTCCCTTAACCACAGCCCAGAGGACTGCCGAGGGGTGGCATGTCCACACGGCACGTGCAGGATCACTCTTCCCACACTCGGAGCCAAGAGGAAGCTCAACTCTTGAGCCATCAAAAGTCCCGCTGAGGGATGAGCTGGGGCTCAGGCCACCTCTGCTGCACAAGAAAGAGTGGTTTGGGAAGACAGAGAACGATTTCAAAGAATCACAGAATCCTTCAGGTTGGAAGAGACCCTTGGGATCATCGAGTCCAACCATCAACCCTACTCTACAAAGTTCTCCCCTACACCATATCCCCCAGCACCACGTCTAAACGACTCTTAAACAGGGATGGTGACTCAACCCCCTCCCTGGGCAGCTTCTTCCAGTGGCTGACCACTCTTTCTGTGAAGAATTGTTTCCTAATGTCCAGTCTAAACCTACCCTGTTGCAGCTTGAAGCCATTTTGTGGTCGAATGGACCACGTTGTGCACCTCACTGTCTCTTTCTGCCCCTGCATCTCTCTCTCTCGATGGTGAGGTAGCTGCAGACCACTGGATATAACTTTTTAAACTATGTTTTTAAAACTTGCTCCAGCCAGGGGTAAAAATACCAGAAGTAAATTAGAGTTGTGTCTTCCAGCTATCCTTCCTATCCAGGTAGATGCTGGAAAGAAGAAAACCTCTGTGTAGGTAACGTTCCTAGCACAGGGTTTCTGTGCAGCCAAAAAGAGTCGACCAGTGGCCTCCACAAAGGAAAAAGAGATCGGGTGAAAATACACAAAGGTTCTCTGCAAAATCTTAGATAAACCTGCCTGCCTTGTTGAAAGCCAGCAGAATCTTCAGTTATATGGTATATACCAGGGAAATCTGACCGTGTCCCTTGGATGTTCATTACGGGGCGCTGAGACGCCCTACGGCACGAAATCCTTTCATTTCCTCCTACAGAAATCTTGAAAAAGTGGAAAAAGGTTTTTTTCCCCTGGTTTCTACGTGTCGCATGACCTGCTCAAAGCTGTAGCTCTGACAAACGTTGCAAAGAGCTGCCTGGCACACGTGGAGCCGCTCGGCACACACCAGGACCAGCCACAAACTCCTCCCAAGGATGTCACCTTAAAAGCAGCCAAGAGATGGGACAACATAGGGAGGGAATGTTCTGGAAAGACTTCATGCGGAAGATGCACCTCAGACCACCAATTACGGTGAAAAACAACCCTTTTCATAGAATCACAGAATCACAGAATGGTTTGGGTTGGAAGGGACCTCAAAGATCATCCAGTTCCAACCCCCTGCCCTGGGCAGGGGCACCTCCCACCAGACCAGGTTGCTCAAGGCCACATCCAGCCTGGCCTTGAACCCCTCCAGGGATGGGGCAGCCACAACTTCCCTGGGCAACCTGTTCCAGTGTCTCACCACCCTCAGAGTAAAAAATTTCTTCCTGAGATCTAATCTGAATCTTTTTTCTTCCAATTTAAAACCGTTTCCCCTTGTCCTATCATTACCCTTCCTGGCAAAGAGTCCCTCCCCAGCTCTTCTATAGGCTCCCTTCAGGTATTGAAAGGCCGCTATAAGGTCTCCCCGGAGCCTTCTCTTCTCCAGGCTGAACCCCCCAACTCTCAGCCTGTCCTCTTTTCCTTGCTATTGGCCGTTTTCAACCCCAGCCAAGGAGTTTGCAGCGCAACCCACTGCGTGATTCTGTTCACCCAACGGAGAGATTGGGGAGAAACCAGCCTCACCAGCAACTCCTTCCCGCTAAAAAACTGCGGCCTGAGGTACAAAGCTGAGGAAGCCCTCGGTCTGCACTCTCGAGACAGCCAAAAACCTCCAAGGAGGTATCTTCAGCAGCAGCGGTCAAAGTGACAAAACACGTGAAACCTATCTCCCCAACACTATCTGTTCGACTGGGAAGGGAGGAGAGTGGTGGTTATCTGCACCCTACACGACTAGAACAAGAGCTGGGAGCAGTGGAAAAATCCCAGCCTATCCCATCTAATTTGTCTTTGGTGATTTTTTTCCCCATTTCCTGAAGAAAGAGCGATGGAAAATAGAGCCGCACGTACCACCAGTGTTCGGTGATATATCACAGAATCACAGAATCTTCTAGGTTGGAAGGGACCTTAAAGATCATCTTGTCCAACCGTCAACCTCACTGACAAAAATAGACACCCACACAACAAACAAGGAGCATCATCACTAAACCAGACCTCCCAGCACTACATCAACCCCTCTTTTGAACACCTCCAGGGATGGGGCCTCAACCACCTCCCTGGGCAGCCCATTCCAATGCCTGATAACCCTTTCAGGGAAAAAATTTTTCCTAATATCCAGCCTGAACCTACCCTGGCACAACTTGATTTGGGTTTTTGCCTCAAATTCTAAATGCCTGCTCTTTTTCAAGAGACCTTGGCTTGGAATCCCAGCTGCGTTTCTAGTGCTTTCGAGTGTGAAGATCATACCGAGAGCGATCAACCGTATTGTTTCCAGATTAACCTCACCTCACAGGAAGCTTTTTGGAGCCAAGCAGCAACACCTGCGAAGGTGCTAAGGCTGCTCTCTGCCACACCAAGGGCTTTGGGGAGGTGTTAAACCTCTCACGGCCTGCAAGGTGCTATTTATTTGGTGATTTTAAAGAGCGATGTGCAGTTTAAAGGAGGATGTCCGCTCTCTGAAATGGTACCAGCAGGCCAGGTCTACACTAAAAGTTCTCAGCTGTAACGTTTGTTAGTGATATTCTTGTTTTACGGGTAGCCAAAACAGTATAAAGATTTTTTTCAGGTGACACAACTTGATCTACCCCAATATATTTTGTCGCTTGCTGCTTCAGTTGCAAAATTATTCAAGGTTTTCTAATCCAGACCAGAAATACGCTTCTAAGATGAAAGGATACATAAAACTCCCCAAAAGACACTCTGCTTTTTTCCTTTTTGTTAAGACAGTTTCAGAACCATCTCTGGCCTTAAATAAATACTTATTTCTTCAAAGCATGAGCCTGAGAACAGAGAATAACTGGCTATGGAGTACTGCATCCAACCCACTGCAAGCCAAAAGGACATGTTCAAGGACTCTGAGCGGTGGTGACTCCACCACTCTCCCAAGAAACCCTATTAATTAGAACTCCCTCAGTTAAATATTCTCCCTAATTAAGGTTTTCTGCTGGGGTGGGTTGCTGGATTCCTTGTTCTGAGCAAGTCCTTCATGTCCCTCCAGCTACGTTGGAAAGAGATCAGTGTTCTCAAGATCACTTTAGCCTACATAGCTTTTTTTTTTTTTTTCCTTTCTATTTACCTGGCACACCCTCTGTTTGCTTGTGGTTATCTCTCTGCTTAAACAGTAAAGTCAGTCTAGCCACAATCAAACTCCTTTACCGGAGAGTGTTTAGACTAATTCAAGTTCTTTCATTTGGCCCACTTCAGCCAATTCTCCAGAATAAACTTTTCTGCAAAACTGCTCTCCTCCTGCACTCACGCTGGTGTGCGTTAGAGGATTCTCCTGTCACAGCTTGGGGTAAGGAGTGGAAGGTGGAGGGGGTGGGGTGTGATTACCTTTTTTTTATACTTTCCCAAGTTTTGACAGCAAAATCGTTACGTGCAGACCGAGTTCTGATAACATCTGCTGCAGAAAAGAATGAGTAGCTCCTTTGTCAAACGGCACCTGGCGTAGAGGTTACCTGGCTGGAGAGCAACGAGACGACGTGACGTGATTTCAACCTAGAAGTCCATCCTGTAGCTTCCAGAGGAATCCATTTCACCCACAGAAAACTTTGCTGTTTCTTATCTTTATGACTAAGCAACGTTCTGCCAACGTGATTTTTGGTCATCACCTTCCTGCCAGGCCACTCCAAAAATACCAGGGATTGGTATTTTTTTTTTTGTAGCCTACCCACAGTGTCCTGACGAGACACCGTACGCCGTCTCCCCACAACACCAGGTGCAAGGGTAATAACCTGAAAGGCGTAAGCTGATGCCATCTAAATTTCCTAGATCTTCAAAGAGGTTAAACAAAAGGCAGTAAGATGGAGTCACATCCATTATCACCCTCAAGGAGATGTTTTAATGAGCGCCAAAACACACCGCCAAGTTGTTCAACCCAGCGTCATTCACACCAAAACAGCAATTTAAACTAACCGCCCCGGTTTCAAACCTCTGACCACATCTCCTTTCGTATCAAAGACTTCCTCTGCTCCTGCCCTGCTTCCACCCAGGGCTTTTTAAAGTTCTGTCCCATTGTTTCCAATGAAATGAGAAAAGTTACACCGACCCGGCAGGCTTTAGATCAGGTCTTGAAATCACATCAGACATGAGTAAATAAATAATTTTCATTAACAACTTAAGTACCGGAAGCTCACAGAATAGCAGAATGCTATGGGGTTGGAAGGGACCTCTGGAGATCATCTAGTCCAACCCCCTGCCAAAGCAGGGCCACCCAGAGCAGGTTCCAAGTGGGGTTTGAATGTCTCCAGAGAAGAAGACTCCACCACCTCCCTGGGCAGCCTCTGCCAGGGCTCTGCCACCCTCACAGGAAAGAAGGTCCTCCTCATGTTGAGATGGAACTTCTTATGTTCAAGTTTGTGCCCATTTCCTCTCGTCCTGTCCCTGGGCACCACTGAAAAAAGCCTGGCCCCATCCTCCTGACACCCACCCTTTAAGGATTTATGGGCCTTGATCAGATCCCCCCTCAGCCTTCTCTTCTCCAGACTAAAAAGCCCCAAGTCCCTCAGCCTTTCCTCATCAGAGAGATGCTCCAGGCCCCTCATCATCTTTGTAGCCTCTGCTGTCCCCTCTCAAGCAGTTCCCTGGCCTTCTGCAACTGGGGAGCCCAGAACTGGACAGGATACTTCACTTTTGCTTTTTGTGCAACAAAAGCCTAAAACCAGTGGATGCAAAGCCATCAGCGGATGTCACAGGACCTGTGGGCCTTCACAGAGAACTCCAGTTCAGCCATCTGCAGTTTTTAATTATGAATCAAACACTGAGAGAGAAGGAATGCGTTTGACCTAGATTCCTAGGGTGGGTTATTTGAGTTCTTCCTCTCACCTGCAAAGAACGATGTTCCAAGCAGCAGGAGCAAAGAAAAAGAGACACCCAGGAAGCCAGGCTGGGAGATGGGGGATTAGAAGATGCCCTGGTCTCCATCCCAGCTCGGCCAGCAACATCAGCCAGGTGCTTCAGAGTTCCACTGGGACTGCACCTCCTCTGACTCTGTGTTCACCTACCTACAGGCAAAGTCTCCTAAATCACCCCAAAGGATATTCGTTAAGCAATCTGGCAAATATATCTGGGTATGTAAATCCACCCTCTTGCTCCTGCCACTCTTTCATTTCGCCTACTCCAAAACATTTGCTAAAGGTTTGCTAAGTTTTCCTCTAACTTCCTCCTACAGCACAAATCAGCACGTTTTCCCTCCCTGATTCTAGTCACTAGTGGCCTCTGCTGGACACCCCTGTTACTCCAGACAACAAACTGGAGTAAAAATAAATACTCACAGACACATAAAGTGGCTTCTATTTTCTCTTTCTGTTTTCACCAGACCTGTTTCCCCTTTGTTGCTCAGACAGCAGTGCCCATTTTTGCAAACTCCACCGTCCCAATTGGAGATTCCAAGTTCCACAAAGCATCCACCTGCATCCGTAGCCAGGTCTGGCTCAATTTGACTCAAACAAGGACATATTCCAGGGAAAAAAAATCAAAAAAGAGGGCACACAAACCAAGACAAGGACCTTTTCAATCATTTTCCAGAAAAAGAAGCAAACTGAGCTGAACAATGCTGCTTTCATATACCAGAACCTAAATGTCTGCCTATGGAAATATCCAGGAACAGTTACTGCCCTTAAAAATTCAGTTTTAAATCGAACCCTTATGTATAAAGAAGCATGTGATGATAGGAAAAAGCATGAATCGATTTTTTAAAAACAGAAGAACCACCCCCACGACACATTTTTAAACTAAAGAGCTCAAAGCCAGAAGGAACTTTTCATTTCAACGGAAGCCGTCAAATCTCTCCTCAAAATGAAAAAAGCAGGATAGTACCAAGTTTACAAGACTTCTATGAATAGATTTACTCACCCCCGGGATTTTCAGCAATTCGGCGATGAGGAGAGGCAGCTTCAGGGCAGCCACGCTCCCAGTCACACCCACCAGGACACGGAATGTTTTCGGCGGCACCGATGAGCTCTTTTCTGCAGGAAACCCTGGTTCTGGAGCCGAGCAGGGCTCCATGCTCTGCTCAAACTCTACAAAAGCACAGAAAAAGAAAGACACTTGACTAACGGTGCCTCTGAGCGAGGGCAGCAAAGCAGGGCTCCAACATCAATTTATTCCCAAGGACAAAGATTTTAAGCCTGGACTACGCCGTCTCCAAAATAATTCCAGCTGAGGGTGAACAACACTCAGGCCCCAACCCACAAAGCTTTTGGGCACTAGCAGACCTTTAAGCATAGCAGTAGTCTGGTCCTCCTAGTTTAATTACAATTTTCTCTCTGATATTGGTAAAGAGAACACTAAAACCTGTCCAGGCAGGCCAAAAAAGTGTTCTGGTAAAGCCCAAAAACACTCCAAAACGTTGAACAAAGCCAGAGTTTACAATAAATCTACCTTTCACACTGACTGCCGGGAAGACAAGCAGCCCCACAGCTGGGCTGATCTCCCTTCGTACTCCCTGGTGAGTAATAAATGCAGGGAGACATTTTAACAATTAAGAAAATGTGGGGCCCTGAGGCAAGCTTTATCATCTTACTTCCTATTGCATCACTACGGATTTACAGCTGCGCTAGAAGTGACTCCCTAGCAGATAGGGAAAAAAACCAACCAAACAGGGAATAGGAGGTAAAAAACAACAGCCACCGAGTGAAAACACCTTCCCAGGGAGCTAGAAGTTGGAACTAACTGCTGGGTCCCCCGCCAGCGCCGACCAAAGGGATCCACAGCTGATTCAGAAGCTGTGGCTCAGGTCTCCTCTGCAGGACTGATGCAAGCAGCTCTGCTTAACGAGAGATTAGCAAAGAGTAAATTCACTTCTTAAAAAAAAAAAAAAGAAAAAAGACAATACATTGGGATTCAGTAAGGTTTGTTCAATGTTAGTGACATCCTCGTTATTGGGAGGAAGTTACTCGGAAGCCTTCTGGGTAGAACACAAAAGGAAGATAGAATTTGGGATCCTTCACCGGGCGGTTCAGCTGGGGGTCAGCCTGACCACCACCCCCAGCTTTATCAGCAATAATGCATTCTTTTTCCACGCTCTGCTTGGAATTAAATATGTTTAACTTGGGCCCCTGAGGTTGCTCAGTGTGTTTTAAAAAAACAGCTACAATAGTAGCTCATTATCACCTTGAGCTTCTAGGCACTGATTAGTAAAAGTAAGTAAAGACAAGGAAATCCAGTACATATATTGGCTGGGAGATTTCAACGCTACTGCAGTATTTTACATGTTCACCTATGTCTAATTAAAAATAAGGTAATGCCATCACAGCAAGGAAAACATCCGCTTCCCTTACGATTAAGTAAACGACAATTTAAAACGACAATTTAAAATAAACACTGAGGCGTCCAGATCTCAAAGCCTGGGGAATAAGGCATAATTTTTTTAATAGGCACTTTTCAAAAAGGGCCATCAGTGATAAAAACAAGAGTGCGACATTCCGGGCCACGCGCTCCTCTTACCCAAACACAGCTCTGGGGAACCAGCTACGAAGCCATTAGGAAGCAAGCAGCTTAGAGGCAAATTAAGTTACTTTATTAGCTTTTTAACAGCTGAACATAGCTTCAAAAGGCGGAGAACAGAACGGAGACACCCCAGACGTTTCCGAAACGTAAAGAAACAACGTTTATATACCGGTAGAAGCAGGCGGGAGCCCGCTGAGGAGAGCTCCAGCCCGCGGCCTGCTCCCACCGGAGGCCTGGGCCGTGACCTGCGCCGTCGCCAGGCAACGAGAGCGTGACCCCTGGGCGCCCCGGAAGCCGAAGGGCAGGCTGGGAAACGCTGATTGGCTCCCTTGGCGCATGCGCGCGGCGGCGGGGCCCTGAGGCGGGGAACATGGCGGCGCCCAGCGGCGGGGAGATGGCGGCGGCTCTCTGCGCTTCCCCTCCCGGGCCCGGCCGCCTCCGGAGCCCTGCCCGCCACCCCGCCGCGCTTCTCAGGCAACGGCAGGTCCCGGAGCGCTGGGGCGGGCCGGCTCCGGCGCCTCACGCATCCCCGGGCGGCCAGAGAGGGGCTGGCGGCCCTCAGCCCCCCGGGAACAGCCGCTTCGCAGCGGCGGGGAGCAGGAGGCTAGGCGCTGGATCGCTGCCCGGCGTTTAAAGCTCCTCAGGATCACAGGGTTGGAAGGGATCTTAGAGATCACCCAGTGCCACCCCCTGCCCTGGGCAGGGACACCTCCCACCAGCCCAGGTTGCTCCAAGCCCCCTCCAACCTGGCCTTGAACCCCTCCAGGGATGGGGCAGCCACAGCTTCTCGGGGCAACCTGGGCCAGGCTCTCACCACCCTCACAGCAAAGAATTTCCTCCCCACATCTCAGCTCCATCTCCCCTCTTTCAGTGTCAAACCCTTCCCCCTCATCCTAGGGCTCCCCTCCCTGATCCAGAGTCCCTCCCCATCTCTCCTGGAGCCCCTTGAGGGACTGGAAGGGGCTCCAAGGTCTCCCTGGAGCCTTCTCTTCTCCAGCCTGAACCCCCCCAGTTCTCAGCTTCTCCTCCCAGCAGAGGGGCTCCAGCCCTCCCAGCATCTCCGTGGCCTCCTCTGGACCCACACCAACAGCTCCATGCCCTTCCCATTCCGAGAAAGCCCTTTAAGGGATGGATCCTAGCTCAGGCAAGGTTTTGGAACCAGCATCTCCGGGGCCTCCTCTGGACCTACACCAACAGCTCCATGCCCTTCCCGGGCCGAGAAAACCCTTTAAGGGAGGATCCTAGCTCAGGCAAGGTTTTGGAGGTGTCAGAGGGCAGCAGAGAACTGGGTGCCAGGGGAGGAGGGCAGAGAAAAGGGGTGTCTGATGGGTGCAGGGCTCCTGCATCCCCACAGGAGGTGGGCACCTCCTGGCAATGGATGAGGCCAGCAGGATTTGGGGCAGGCACAGGGAGCTGGCAGGGGGAAATGCGGGATGGAGGAGACTGCAGAAGCACGGGGGGAGCTGGGGCAGGGGGTGGTGTGCGTGTTCCCCACATCACGGCTTCAAAGCAGCCGGCTGTGGACATCCCTGCACCCACAAAGCAGGAGAGGGAGGAGGGCTCTGCATCACCAAAAGCAGCGGGGAGACCCCCAGTGAAGACCCCAAGCCTCATCTCCCCCCCCAAACCCTGTGGGCTGCAGCTGGGATCACAGCCACCGCAGCCCCCCCCTCAGAAACAGTCACACCCTGGCAGCCACAAAGCAGGAGAGGGAGGAGGGCTCTGCATCACCAAAAGCAGCAGGGAGACCCCCAGTGAAAACCCCAAGCCTCATTTCTCCCCCCCCAACCCCGTGGGCTGCAGCTGGGATCACAGCCACCACAGCCCCCCCCTTGGAAGCGGTCGCAGGTTAAAAATCAGGGGGGATATAGTGTCCCCCCCGGGGGCAGGAAGGCTTGGGAGCTGGAGGAGGGGGGGTTTTCAGCGCTCGCCCCGTTCAGGAGACACGCCGCAGAGGAGGGTTAGAAGGCTGAAAGCAAGGCCCGTTCGTTAGAGCTCGTTACAGTTATTATTCACGCATCTCATCGTAAAATGCAAGAGGTGAAAGTCACTTAATTCATCGTTTTCTCAGACACGGATGACAAGAGCACGTTGATTTTGGCATAGTCAGTTCTCGGCTAGCTCTAAATGAATTGCACAATATTTAAACCTGATTAAGTACATAATAGGCTCAGCGAAGGATTACCTTTCTCCTTACATTTTATACATATATATATACACACACACACACGCACGCACACACACACACGTCGTGTCACCAGCTGCATGTTAGTCTTGCCCAGAGACGGCTCCCTACTGCAGGAGGGCTGAAGTGGAACCCTGGGGAAAGGAAGCTTCTTCTTGGTGGGCTTTGCTGGAGGAGACAAGTTCCTCTATGGGATGATTCTCGTGGGTAGGAGTCCTAGAGAAGTGTCACCAGTGAGTGCCAGGGGACACTCCAGCCTTGTCCCAGCCAGGGGACAAGGGGTTGGGGACACAGAGACACCTCTGGCTTTGCCCACAGCGGGCAATTTGAGCCACGGGGACGGATGGGACTCTTTTCTAGGCCTTGGAGAAAAAAAATTGGCTCATTTAAAGTGCGTTTAGAGTCTGAAAAGCATCTCCAAGAAGGAGCTTCCCTTACTCCTGCCCCCATCAGCTCCCCGTTTATGAACCCATCTTCTCCAGGCTCCACCAGCCACCCCATGCTAAGGTGCAAGATCGTTATTTAAAGCCCCATTTTTCCCTAACAGGGCAGGGATTCGGGGCTGGCAGGAGAAAATACACAGCCAGGTGGCCCAAAAAACCAACAAGGGTTAAATCTTGACCTCACTATTTCTGCAAGAACTGGGAAGGTGAAGGAAGGAATGTGCTTTTCATTCGGGGCGGCAAGATTTGGCCCAGAGCCTTCCCCAAGAATAAGCTTGCCCATCTTTTCTTTTCAAAATAGAAGCATTTTAAAAAAACAAAACAAAACAAAAACCCCCAACCAGACTCAGGATGCAGAACCTGGAAGGGGATGGGAAAGCCCGCCCTGGGCTCCCCAAAAAACAAAACAAAAACCCCCAACCAGACTCAGGATGCAGAACCTGGAAGGGGATGGGAAAGCCCACCCTGGGCTCCCCAACACACACGTGTGCTCACACACACACACACACAGCACCCACGCTCACACACAAATACTGGTCGGCCACCTCAAAACGGGGAATTAATTTACACACCACCACACACCGAGAGAAATTGTAGATCCTGAGCCAGGGTGTAGATTAGGAATCTCTTGGCTTCCAGCAAGATTTAGGGTTTCTTTTTTTTTCTTCCCTTTTCTCCTTTTTTTGTTTTGTTTTCTTTTTTTAACTGCTAAACCAGCCAGCCACCTGCTAGTTAAAAAGCAAAGAAAAGGGAGAACTCCCGGGATTGCTTGCCCTTGCTGAGAAGTGGCAAGTGGCTGGATGCTACCGACTCCAAAAGGAAAAAAAACAAAAAAAACCCACTCACACGCATCGCAAAAAACCTGTGTTTCACCACTTATTCCAAGAGGGGAGATGGGTGCTGGTTGCTGTTTTTATCTTTCCCTTTGAGGGGAGTTTGGGGGCAGACAGGAGGTGGGGGGGAGGAAGGGAGCTTTTGGCTGATGTAGTTCTAAACGTACACCTATCACCACAATTAATTAAAAAAGCACCACCCTACACTATTTCACAGGGAAAAAAAGAGGAAAAAAAAAAAAAGACAAGGTGAATGTACACCGACTACCACCACGCACAACGATGAGAGCCCTGCAGGTCAACTCATGGCCTCTTCAAAACGAAAAATAAAAGAGAAAAGAAGAGCTCAAGATGGTGACGGGAGGAAAAAAAAGGAAAAAAAAAAAAAGAGAAAAAGAAAATAAAAAGGAAAAAATCCAAAATTCTCTCGTTACAAAGACTGGGAAAAAGAAGAACCGTTATGGTACACTCCCGACTCTCCAAAATAGCTGCAGAAACTCAGCTCAGCCTTCCTCCTCCTCCTCTTCCTCCTCCCTTTCCCCGCCGCCCCGGAGGACAGAGTCCTGCTGCTGCTCACATCTCGTTGGAGTAGGTGTAGTTGGGGGTGGCCGAGTACTGCGTCTCGTGCTGCATCATGGCCCCCTGCGCCGCCCCCATGGCCGCGTTCTGCGCCGCCTGCTGCACGTGGGGGTTCTTCCAGGCCCCCGTGGTCCACTCCTCCTGGGCTTTGCTGAAGCTCCCCCCGCTCCCCCGGTAGAACTTGTGCACCTGGAGAAGGTCAGAAAGAGGAAAAAAATAAATCCAGAGGTGCTGAGCCTCCAAAGGGTAGTAAAAAAAGGGCAGGGGAAAAAAAAAAAAAAAAAAAAAAAAAGAAGGAAGGAAGGGGTGGTGGGGGGAAAAAAAAAAGGAAAAAAAAAAAAAGAGAAAAAGAAAATAAAAAGGAAAAAATCCAAAATTCTCTCGTTACAAAGACTGGGAAAAAGAAGAACCGTTATGGTACACTCCCGACTCTCCAAAATAGCTGCAGAAACTCAGCTCAGCCTTCCTCCTCCTCCTCTTCCTCCTCCCTTTCCCCGCCGCCCCGGAGGACAGAGTCCTGCTGCTGCTCACATCTCGTTGGAGTAGGTGTAGTTGGGGGTGGCCGAGTACTGCGTCTCGTGCTGCATCATGGCCCCCTGCGCCGCCCCCATGGCCGCGTTCTGCGCCGCCTGCTGCACGTGGGGGTTCTTCCAGGCCCCCGTGGTCCACTCCTCCTGGGCTTTGCTGAAGCTCCCCCCGCTCCCCCGGTAGAACTTGTGCACCTGGAGAAGGTCGGAAAGTGGAAAAAAATAAATCCAGAGGTGCTGAGCCTCCAAAGGGTAGTGAGAGCTCCCCGAAAGTGACCCGGCCACCCCCCAAGTGACCCATCACCCCCCTCTTGCTCCCCATACCATGGTGAGAGCGATGAAGGAGAAGACAGCCATCCCCGTGAACAGGACGGTGGGGATCAGCATCACCACGGCCGACCCCACGTTGGTCCCGAAGAAGGAAATGGCCGCGATCCAGCCGCTGCAAGGAGAGTCAACCAAGGAGAGAGTCAACCAAGGAGAGAGTCAACCAAGGAGAGAGTCAACCAAGGAGAGAGTCAACCAAGGAGAGAGTCAACCAAGGAGAGAGTCAACCAAGGAGAGAGTCAACCAAGGAGAGAGTCAACCAAGGAGAGAGTCAACCAAGGAGAGAGTCAACCAAGGAGAGAGTCAACCAAGGAGAGAGTCAACCAAGGAGAGAGTCAACCAAGGAGAGAGTCAACCAAGGAGAGAGTCAACCAAGGAGAGAGTCAACCAAGGAGAGAGTCAACCAAGGAGAGAGTCAACCAAGGAGAGAGTCAACCAAGGAGAGAGTCAACCAAGGAGAGAGTCAACCAAGGAGAGAGTCAACCAAGCATTCCGCAGTCTGGGGCTTTTCCCCTTGGCTCTGTCCATCCCTCCCAGCTCCTCAACCCATCTTCATGGAACCATGGAGAGGGCTATGAAGATGAAGGGCCTGGAGCATCTCTCTGGTGAGGAAAGGCTGAGGGACTTGGGGCTTTTTAATCTGGAGAAGAGAAGGCTGAGGGTGGGATCTGATCAACTCCTATAAATACTTAAAGGGTGGGTGTCAAGAGGATGGGGCCAGTCTGTTTTCTGTGGAGCCCAGTGACAGGACAAGAGGAAACAGGCACAAACTGGAATATAAGGAGTTCCACCGGAACTTTCCTGTGAGGGTGTCAGAGCCCTGGCAGAGGCTGCCCCGGGAGGGGGTGGAGTCTCCTTCTCTGGAGACATTCAAACCCCCCCTGGACACGTTCCTGTGGGACCTGCTCTGGGTGGCCCTGCTTTGGCAGGGGGTTGGACTAGATGATCTCCAGAGGTCCCTTCCAACCCCATAGCATTCTGTGATTCTGTGATACCATTTAATCCAACGCCCTAGGTCCCTTCCAACCCCAGAGCATTCTGTGAAACCATTTAATCCAACCCCCCCTCCCAAAGCGGCTTCACCTAGAGCAGGATGGCATCCAGGAGGGTTTGGAGTATCTTTGGAGAAGAAAGATTCTCTCTTCCCCAAAGAGAGAAGCTCCCTGAAGCCCTCAAGGGTGTTAAAAATACCATCTCAGCGGCGACCGTCCTTGCACCCAACACCAGAACAGCATCCTCCCTCCTTACCAGACGCCCCAGCCGGGGATTCCCACCGCCTGGATAATGCTGATCACCAGCTGGGCCATGAAGGTGAAGAAGAAGGCCATGAAGCTGAAGGAGCTGTCTGTCCTGCAAGAGAAGGCTCGGGGTGACTCCCTGCGCCCTCCATCCCCGCTGCCCCGCCGGGGAAGGGAGGTGCTCCCCTATCTCAGACCCTTTTTGGGGCAAGAAGCAGCTGTGGGTTAGTGAGAAGCAGGCAAGAGGGGCAAAAAAAGTGTCCAAACTATAGGCAACAGGGCCAAAAAAAAATAATAAATAACCCACCAGAGGTGAAGGGGCACCTGGAAAAACCACGGGGCATCAAACAAGAGGGCATCCGCCTTTGGACACGGCTCTGGGCTCACACTGCTCTACCATCAGGCTCAGAAGAGCACTGGGGAAGAAATACACCCCCAGTTTTCTAGATTTGGGGGATACCACCCTGGGGATGGACCTCAGCAGCACAATTAATTGATATTTAGCACCTTGAGGGCTTGTGGAAAAATATGAGAGGGAGGGGAGGGAAAGTTGGCATCGCAGCTGCATCCTCACCGCTCCCCCAGCGCTGCACAAGGGGGTGTCTTCATATCACAGGGTTGGGGGGGGGAGTGAATTTGGCCCTCAGGAAACCCCAAACACCCTTGGCTTTGAAGGTGAGGAAGTAAAACTAAAGGGCTGGAGGGAAAGAGCAGAAATTCCCCCAAAATATCCGGGCAATCGTCCCAGCGCTAACCCTTTAGGAAGGAAAACAAATAAAAATAGAGGAAAAAAGAAAAAAAATTAAAAAAAGGGAGGAGACAACCATGAAAAGCCGGGCTGGGGCGTGAGCACTTACTTGAAAGCTTTGTAAATAGGTCTAAACCAGCAGACATAGGAGCAGGGCGTAAAGAGAATGAGCCAGAGAATTGCCAGTCCGAAATTAACGGCTCCGCCGCCTCCAATCAGCCAAGCGAGGCAGCCCACGAGATTCACCGCCAGGGTGATGCTGTTCACTGCAAACACACACACACACACACACGTGCGTGCACACACAGAGAGGGAGCAGAGTAGGGGGTAGGCCAGGACATGAGATGACACCCCCTCCAACCCACCCACCCACCCACCACCATCATCAACACACGTACCCCCAGCAGTGGGTTACTCAAGCTGGATTTCCCTTAATTTCACCTAAATTCAGCTGGATGAGGGGAAATTTGGCTCGGGAGGGGGAAAAAATGAAAAAAAAAATATATATATTTCTCAGAGTTGTAATGTCTTGATTTCCAGGGGTTTGTGGCGGGGGGTGGGGGTGAGGAGCCCCATCCGGGCACGTCTCCATCAACAGGAGGAAACTGGAGGGATTGAAGAGAAGCTTTTCCCCCCCTGGATGAAGGAGCTCATGGAAGGGTTGTTCCCCCCGAGCTAGAAACCCTGAGAGCCAAAGCCCCCCAACTCCCATGTCCCCCCCCACCCCGACCTCGGGGGTGACACCACACAAGGGCCCTCACTATGAAGCCTGGTGGTGGCTCGGGGGACACAGGACAAAGCTGGGCAGGCTCATCTGCATTCCTCCGCCTCCCACCTCGGAGAATGATTCATTCATTCATTCATGACTTCCCAGAGGGAATTAAAAGCCTCCCCGGGAGGGAGGGAGGGCTGCAGCTGGGCCCCGGGGAGGGAGCCGGGCTGAGAGGCCGCTCGCTGCTCCCTCAAGTCCCCAAGGACACTCAGGGTTTTATTTTTTTGGGGAGAAAATGATGCAGAGAGGATCCAGGGAGGCAAAAAAACCAACGGGGGAGCCGGTGCCGTGGAAGAGGCCAGAGTCAGAATGGGGCTCTGTGAACTGAAGGGCCAGGTTGAGATGGGGAGGGGGATTTAACACCCCCAAAACGGCCTCCCCGGGGAAGCACACCTTTTATTTTTCTTTTTTTTTTTTTTTCCCCACCTTCCTAGAAAAGCCACCTTAACCCTCCCTGAGGTGATGGGGGAAGCGATCCCGGGGTCACCTTCCCCATGGGAGGGGGTGTCCCTGTGCCAAAAGGAGAACCACCCTCCACACCTCTCCGGACCCAGCTCAGCTCCTCATCACCCACCCCCCCAGGCTCGGTGCCCACTCTCTCGGCCACCAAAATCCTTCCAAATTTCTGGGAAAACACCCTGGTGAGGAACTAACAACCAAAGCCATGGTGGCAGCTCATCCTGAGCTGCACACACATCCCCCTACCCCCCCCAGGGTGCGACCTGTCCCCTCTGGTCCTTCTCCCCCCATCCCTGGGGTGGGTAAGGAAGAGAAATCCGGGCAAGTTTGAAGAGTTAGAAGAAGGTGACAGCTCTGTTAGCACAGCACGGCACACAGAGGCATGCAAGAGGAACAGGCAAGACCCATTTTTTGGGGAGGGGGGGAGAAGTGGGGGGGGAAAGCTCCCTGTTTTGGGGAGCAGGCGCCCAGTTTGAGCAGCATCACAGCTTCGGGTGGCTTCCAAAGGGCTCAGGAGGAGCAGGGTGGCAGAGAAAGCCCTTCCCTCCCTGGCCAAGAAAGCCATCGGAGGCTTGGCAAGCTCTGTGGTGGGGCAGGGCCAGCAGCTGAGCGAGATGAAGAGGGGAGCAAATCCTTGGGCAGGAGGAAAGGTGGGTGCTGAGCCACCCCCTCCACGCAGCAGGACATCAAGGTCACCACCTATGGCCCTCAGACCCCCCACCCTCCACCCCCAGCTCCACATCTCCATCCTGGAAGGGCTGAAAGCCCATGAGATGCTGCCGCCCTCAACCCAACCCAACGGTTTTGGGGGGAGACACCAAGACCTGGAGGGGGCAGAAGGACTTTCCCCCCCCTCCTCAACCCCGATCTTGCTCTGTTCTTCCAGAGGAGCAGCCTTGGAAGAGGCAAACCCCCCTCCCCAAGCCCTCTCCCACCCGGGGACTCACGCATCCAGAGGTAGTAGAGCCGCTTGGCCATGGTCCGGTGCTGCGGCGGGATCTCCGCGTCGAAGTCCTGGTAGAAACATGGCTTCAAGGGGATGAACTTCGGCAGGGGAGGGAAGTTGTTTGCTTTTTCTGCAAGAAAAAGTTCAGCCGGCGTCGGGCATGGGACGTA